CCAGATCACGGCGGTAACAAGGAAAGACGTGAGTGTTCCGTCCGAACAGACGAAGGCCTTCGAAAGCCGGGTTACTCGTGTCGATCCTAATGCGTGTCTTCGAAAAACTGAACCAATGCGGGCCACCAGGTGACCCTAGGATGGCGTCGGCAGTCGTGGTAGAGTCAGCGTTCGAGGTGGGTGTAGGAGCATGCTCAACCCTGGAATCGCTATCGGTCGTCACGGAATTGTCGTCTTTGGGACGTTCAGGGGTGAGGAAGGTGCCAACGCCCCAGTCCTGATAGTCGAAGCGCTGGAACGTAGCGAGCAGAACCACGAGCAACGGAAGATCCAAAATGAAGTTGAGACCCGTGCTCTGAATCACTTTCTCCTTATCGAACCACCAGATACGAATGATGTCGTCTATCAAGGCAGGTCAGCATGTGTTTACGGGTTGGGAAAGAATACTCGCCGTTGACAGTCAGGTTGACGACATGTGTCCTGGAGATAGAGCTCCCGAGGATGTCATACGCGTACCTCGTTATCTGCTGCAACATTGCTCCCTCACTCTGTGTAGGATCACCTTGAATTCTCCTGCGCTTGGCTTTGCTGCCCAGAGCATCTCCAGCCTTACGCTTGGAAGAAGTAGATGTGGACGGCAGGGGGGTGATTCGGATCGACGATACGGCGGACTGTTGCGCACTGGATCTAGAACGAATGAAGGTGCCACGAGTCGATGTAGAAGCAACGGAACGCAGTGCTAGAGACCAATCAGAGCCCAACAAAAAAGGCTAAAGACGCAAAGTCATACCGTTGCTGTCTGTCAACACAGCATCGGGATTTCCGGTCCCGAGCGAGGCTTCAGACTGTAGATGGTCTTGGTCTTTGCACGTAGAAGGAGGGATCGCAGGAACGTATGTGAGATGAATATTGTCGGGGTCCACTGTATACCACTGTGGAGGTTCAGCCAACGGCTTGCCGAAGACTTTCACCTCGCCTGCGCTGAGTTGCTGTCCGTAAGTGTACGCTCTAGGGCCGCGAGGCGAAACAGTGGCAGTAGTGAAGGCGTGTGCATCCCACATGTCGTGTGCCTCAGCACCGTCCGGTCGGGGATTACTGCTACGAGTGTTCACGTCGGTAGAGCGGAAGATTCCGAAGTCCGGGCGTGATTTAGAGGAGAGGCCAACTTGCTGACTATTCGACGTGTTATGAAACATTATATGGATTCCGCGGGGAGCAGAGCGGAGAGGGAGATCGAGGTCACGCGTGGCTTGCAGGATCTTATTGAAAAGGAGAATCAGAGGCTTGTAACGATCTTTCTCCGCGGTTGCAATTCGGCTACAACGACATGAGAGCAGGAAAATAGGACAAACAGCATGACACTCACTATTCGTGTATCCTGTCCCTGATGTGTTGTGCGGTAGAGCTGTGATTCTTCTCCCCATCGAGATACTCCCAGTCGGGATTACATAACGGCGAGACTTTGCGCAGGCACTCCCCGAGTATAGGAAGAGAATCAATCAGGTCTTGTAGGTCCGGCTTCATCGAGACATCCTCTTGACCGCCCAGAGCATCTTGGTCGCCGTGAGCCTCTTGTTCGCCATGAGCCCTTGGTTCATCACGAGTCTCGTGTTCGTCGTCAGCTTCATGTTTGTCGTGAGCATCTTGTGCGCCGTCTCCGCCCTCGCCCTCTTCCTCTTTTGTTGTCTGAGCCGACACGTCACTAACCGGATCACTAAAATTCTTCTCTGCGTTTCCGGGTCCGCCTTTGTCAGTCGTGCTGCCATCCTTGCGACACCGTCGCACACACTCCAAGATCATGTCGAGCATGTCGGCGGTGAGCATGGTGTCCTGTAAGTCTTGCATAAGCCACGAGTCGAGATCTTTAGCTCTGGAAAAAGTCGTCCCCGTTAATGACTTCTTGGAAGAAAACGGCACAGACTTACGTAGGGCTGATCAAAGAGACTGAGCGAAGACCCCGGCTATTGGGGGTGTTGATGACCCGCGGACCGTCAGTCGGATTGCGCGGCGGGGTTACCAGCCTATTCCTGATGCGACCGTCTGCTGGTAGGGCAGCGCGAACCTGGGGTGCTGGGTCCCTGGGCACTGATTTCTCCTTGTCCTTGTGCGATGCAGTTGTACGTGGCTGATTCGAGTGCGGCTCGGACTGTGACATATTGAATAGACGTTATCAGACGTAGTGCAGTGGGATGACGCACTAACGAGCACGCGCGCTGGGCTACTAAAGTATTAGTGGACGAGAACAATGGAGCGGTGGCCCGGTGGGTGAGTGAGAGCAACGCGCTAGACACGCGTCAGATCTAACGTGTGTCAGCGATCACGCGCTCCGCGCGAACGGTGCGTGCCACAAGCAGTGCAATCGCCTCATTTCTTCCGCACGCTCGGTATTATAGAGGACCTAGATAGGGCCATGGCAATTTGTTTCCTCAATTTTGGATTCACGCGTACTCTAGAGTACATCCTAACACTAGCAACGTTTGACGAAAACGGTTCGGCGGAATCGCAAGGCGGCGCTCGGCGTGGGACACGCATGCCAGGGCATGCCAATGACACGCTCCCACTGTGGCCGACTAGAAGATGTTGAACGCGTCGAGTATATGGCATGCCGCACCTACGCGCACGTGTACGGTGGGTGTGGTACCTCCACTTTAGCTACTGGACGCTTGACACTCGGGTCCACATCACGGGGTGGTTACCTACACCGTTTCCCTGCAATTTCAAAGTTCGTGGCCCAAGCCACATAGGAACATCTCCAACACGCATGCTACACATTGAGCAACGAATCTGTTCAATGCCCCAGGGTGCATGTATTGTCCACCGACTTGAGTGCGCGCATGATTCTGTCAGTGCTTACGAAGCAGAATCAAGCACTGAAGATATATTGAATCCGGATCTACTTCATCTCGTAGCAGATCACTGTACACTGCTGCTGCGATCGCGGGCAGGTCCACGTCTTGCATCGACTTGGATTAGAACCAAATGTGAACAATAATCGATCAGCCGTTATGACTACTCACTTCAGACGTCCCAAAGACATTTGAGCGACGAATAGATAGATCACTCCGTCACGTTGCGCTCACAGGTACTCGAGAAGGCAAAGAATGCGTTCGGTAGGCGCGGTGACGTTATCAGCCTCCCATCGGAGAGCAGGCAACCACTGATTAGCGGATCGGTTTGATTCCTGCCGTGGCATGGTAAGGTAACTTTGGCGTATTCCCGCAGTACCTGCACCACCATAGGGGCTCCGATAGCTTGATCATGACAAAGGAAGATCATAGCATCCTTTAGGGAAAGTTCCGGGACGATCGAAGCCTCTTCGTTGGTATTTGACAAGGAGTTGTTCCCTGGGGCACCCGACGGTAGAAAGTAGAGCACCTGCGCATCCCGAGTGCGGAGGTCGCGAACTTGGCGTTGTGCGTGTATATGTGCGGTAACCGAGATGCCATATAAAGAGATACATAGCAATGTCCTCTGACGCAGACGGCGGCGTTCGGTCCTCGGTTATAGAGACCAGCCGCGTATTATCGATAGCCGTAGGGATGGTCCTGAAGGGATCCACCAGCTACGCGGGCGTTTTCTGCCTGCGCGCCGAATTTGGACCTGATCCCTTGGATTCAGTACGTAGTCACTGTGACCAACGAATCGCCCACATGCACCGTCCTGAAACGCAGATGTTGCATGACGGGGCTGACAACTCGAAGATCCGCAAGCGCCTTCTCATCTTCAAGCGCGTGTTTCTTTTCTTCTCGTTTTTCTGGCTTCTTGCAACCATGCCGTTAACGAGCGAACAATGCCATGAAAGCCCGACTCGGTTTTTCGGAGCCTCTCGAGTGTCGTCAAGAAACAGATGGACGATGGGTATTGGGAAGGCTGTATGAACACTGCAGAGGTTTGTTGATAATAAGCAACAAGCACGACAATGGAGTCCTTGCTGCTGATGTAAGGCATGAGGATATAGCAGCGAGCGGTTTTGCCCGACGAAGTGCCGAAATTCGTTTGCCATCCGTCTTAGA